TCAAACTAGCTTGGAGGAACTATATATAATGAACGATGGAATATCAGAGGAAGCTGCACAAGCTGTCTGTGAGTTGGTTCCTTCCACATAGCAGCTTAGGGTTCTTCAGTTTCATAATAATATGACAGGAGATGAAGGGGCTATTGCTATTTCTAAGATTCTAAGGCGTTGTCCTTTGCTGTAAGATTTTCGGTGCTCATCTAAACGAGTAGGGTCTGAAGGAGGAGTTGCTCTATCTGAAGCACTTGGGGGATGTGAGAATCTGAAGAAACTTGATCTACAGGACAACATGTTTGGCGTAGAGGTTGGCGTCAAATTGAGCAAGGCTCTTTCCAAACATGAATATCTTACTGAGGTTTATTTGAGCTACCTTAATATGGAAGATAAGGGAGCCATTGCAATAGCTAATGCACTCAAGGATGCACGCAGCCCCTTTACTTGGGATATTGGAGATAACTGGAAATGATATTACAGCTGAAGCTGCTTCCAGTTTAGCTGCTTGCATTTCTACTAAAAAAGCTATCACAGAGTTGAACTTGTCTGAGAATGAACTCAATGATGAGGGTGCCATTTAGATCAGCAAGGCTCTTGAAGCCCAGGATCAAGTGAAGGATATTGATATGAGCGTGAATTCATTAAGAGGGGCTGGGCCAGATCATTAGCTCAAGCTTTGGTGCATAAGCCCGAGTTCAAGTTGCTAAATGTTAATGGGAACTTCATTTCTGATGAAGGTAATGATGAGTTGAAGGATATCTTCAAAGAATCTCCGGAAGAGCTTGAACCTTTAGATGAGAATGACCCTGAACGAGGAGATGATGACAACAACAGAGAGTTTGGGATGATGGTAAAGGCGATGAAGATGAATTGGAATCCAAACTCAAAAATCTTGATGTCAATCAAGATGAATAGAGGCTGTTCTCGGACATTTTATGAAATTTTGTCGCTTGAGACTAGAAATTTGCCTAAGTCTATGTGGTTTGTTGTTTTGAACTGATTTCTTTAGTGTCTCTTGTGATAAGCCTGTCGCACTGCCTCGTAGAATCTAATGGATATTCTATGAAGAGTTTGATGGAATGATTTTATGTTTAATACTCAACTTAGCATTTATGTATTAGTAGACCTAGGCAAATTAATGCAGAGCTGTGATTCTTCTGTGGGATTTTTATGTAATGTCTTCTTT